GACATATCCTTGGACAAGCCAAAAGTTGAACGGCTTTGGATTGACGCTGCGCAACTTTGCGGTTGGGCATATCTCCTCGTGTTGTTCTTCCATGCTGAGCTCATCATCACACTCTGGACTCCGCTGGACGCGAATTGGTTTTAAAGCGGTGAAACACCGCACCGAGGACACGCTGTACCGCCTTCGGCTCTCTCGTATGGCCTCGAGGCGAAATGGGTGGGCTGCTGGCAGCTGTGGGTTGATCGGACCGTGTAGGACACTGCCTTCGAACAGCCTTCGGCTGGCCCAGTATCGCACCAGCGAGCCAAACAGAGTCTGCGGGCATTAGCTGTGGGTTGATCTATGGACCGTGTAAAGAGTCTATCTCCATTCCAATGAGTCTATCAACATGAGTGCAGCCCCCTCCCTGAGCACAAGGTCGTCCAGCATAGTAAGGACTCTTGAAAGGGTTGTCGGTTGCAGCTTGCAGGGATGTATATACCTATGCGGGAGTCAAAACCTGGTGATTGTAACTGTTTCTCCGCAACTTTGTGGCTCAAACGCAGCATTTTGGCGAACCAACGCGTTTCAACGCAGCGAACCAGCGGACGACGCCCGTGTGCGACATCGATCGAGCGATCTGTGATGGCGATCCGTGGGCAGCCGAAGCCTCAGTTGTGTGAAGAGGGAAGTGGCAGTCTTTTTAGCACTTCTTCTGAGGGGCAAAGTGCCCGTGCGGTTGCTCTTTTTTGCAACCCCGACTAGGGTTAGAATGTGCCAGAGGAGTATGTGAAGAGAAGAACTAGATCGAGTGGCGTGGTGAACTCGCTGGTCGCTCGCTTTTTGAACCAGTTTCTGGCTCACGGGGCATCGGAGTGTGACCGGCTATGAGCTTGGCTGAACGAAGAACCGAAGGGGGACCACGGCCGACCGAAGCGGGACCCCACCCACCGCCTGAGGACGACTCCCTTTGGTCCCTACGGCGGTTTGCTGCATGCCTTCCTGCACCCAGACCGCCAGTCGGAAGCCCCTGAGCGGCTCCAACCCTTGGGTGCGGGCACCGGTGCAGCAGACGTGGAGTATGAGCAGTTCTTGAAAGCCAAGGAGGTGCCAAGCTGCCAAGACTGCGAGCTTTCCGGGTCTGGTAGGGTGGGGATTTGCGGGTATCACGTGAGGAACTTTTGGGGGCATTGAAGTTCTGGGTGGTAGACGACCTCCGGACATGATATTTGCAGATTTTGTGGCATATTTGGGGGCCATGAAGTCTGGTTCCAGTTCCACGTGCCATTTTGGAACTTCTTCTTTCCTTCATCTCTGGGGGATGAAGAGACGCACTGGTCCTTCTTCACTGGTCCGATGGCTTTCGCGGCGCGCGACGCGCGATCGACGTCGATGGGTGAAACCCCGGGGTGGACGTGAAACGGCAGGTGCAGCGAGCGATGTTTCAAGCTGAGAACAAGACCATCGTCCATCAGTTCGGGCCACCGAGCTTTTTGTTGCGGTGCAGGTGGTGGTTGGTTGAGCTGGGGCGCGCGCAGTTGCGCTGGCTTTGGCGCCGGGTTTGGGCGCGACGTTGGAGTGAACGCAAGGTTGCACACAACCAACTGGTGAGAACATCAGTCAAACAGCATGAGGACGAGCAAACTAATCAGTGCTGGATGGAATGATTTTGAAGGGTGGGCTTTGCAGTGGCAGCCAGAATGGCTTGGCTTTGCATTCTCAGGGTGTTTCCTCAGATGTCCTGAAGAAGCTTGGTGGGTATGATTTAAGCAAGACTCGATCATTGCTCTAAGCCTGCCATTTAGTCTATCTCCATCAGGATTCTTACACAAGCCTGCCAAGTTTTTCTGTTATTTTTTTGACCGATCCACCCTGCGGCGGAGAACCCCGCAACCTCCGCACACGATGTGGACGAGATGGTCCCCAAACGCTACACAAGCGCCGCTGCGGGGGACGTGGAGTTCAACGGCGCCAGTCGAAGAACATCGGCTGGGTTGGGTTGTGGGGATTTCGACGGAAAAACCAACACACATGCTCAAATACGTAAGTAAGCTGATTTTATCCTTTCTTATTTGGTGCTTTTCGAGGATTTCGAGGCAGAGGCGACAATCCCCACCAAAGCACGAATAGGCGGAGGTTCCCCAAATCAACGAAGAAGTGACCCGTCGGTTTGCAGTTCGGCAGTAGCACTAAGTGACAATAGGCTTTTGCCAAAGGGGAAGCTAAACCTCCACAAGAATGGAACGTGGAGTAGCATCTAGTCACAATTTAGTCACTAGTCAGATTTCAGGTCTTTTTGCTACTGCGAGGAGGTCTATCGGCCAATTCACCTGCCCACTTGGTGGTGCTGAGATTGGCGGTGCTGCAGGTGCGCGGATACCGATGTGATCCAGCCCACTGAGAAGTCCATTGCCTGCATCGATGGCAACCAGGTAGGGAACAGCAGCGGGTGCCGCATGCTGTGAAGGTAATAACCGTAGTGCGTTTCCAGGTGGAGTGAAGTGGGATTTCCAATGGAACCACATTCAATCACATTCAGTATTGTATAATTGTTTATTGATCCAACAACTACATCTTCCCAGGCTTTCATCCGGTAGTTTCATCCACCAGATTCCCCTTTGCCGGAATTGTCCAGCAGGCGGCAGCGCATGTGGCCTATGCCCTCAGTGACTGCGCCTTCATTTATCCCATCACCCCGAGCTCGCCCATGGGCGAGATGGTTGATGAGTGGGCTGCTCAAGGAGAGACCAGACGTGTTTGGACATGAAGACTTGAAAACGCAGGACGTAAAGATAGGAAGACCTCCCAGTTCGAGGGATCTCGGATCTCCCTATTGTAAAACCACATTTGAGTGTGGAACCAGTCGAACCTGTCCAGCAACTCCACATCCAATACGTGGAAGTCGGGACGGTGACCGTGCCGTGCGTCCAGGGCTCATCAACTGCTACGGCCAGAAGCTGAGTGTCACCGAGATGCAGAGCGAGGCGGGCGCTGCCGGCGCATTGCACGGGGCTTTGAAGGCCGGTGCCTTCTCCACCACCTTCACTGCCAGCTGCTTTGTTGCAAGCGAGAAGGTGTGCGTGTCTGCGATGGGTGGAGGGATGGGCGGAGTTGCTGCCGTGCAACGTGGATTCACAGCTCGTCGCTCAGCTTGTGAATGTGTTTGAGGTCAAGGACTGCTGTTGATGATTCCCAACATGTACAAGATTGCCGGCGAGCTGTTGCCATGTGTCCGGAGCCCCAGTGGCGCCACAGAAGGCTTTTGGCTGCCATGATTCAGGTGACGAAGGGTGAGGAATTAGGGTGTATTTTTTATCATGCAAGAATGTTCCAACAGCACCCAACAATGGGAACACCGTTTCAGTGTTTCTCTTTTCAGGGTGCCTCCGGATGGTCTTTAAGATGAAAGTACCGTCTGAGGATGCTTCTGGACCCCCCAAAAACCCACAAAATCTGGCCATCGACCCTTGAGCTCAGAATCCGAATTCTATCAGCTCAGCAGTTGAATCTCTGAACTCGACCAAACGAGGACAAGCACAAAGCGCTGGAGCTTCCGACAGGTCGACCAATGACGCTGTTGGTTGGTGGTATGGTGGATTTTGGGGATCCTCAGCGAACACCTCAGCTGAACGGATCCTCTGAGCTCTCCGGGTGGAGCCGAGCCGATCCGCGGTGCCTCCTCAGGTGATGCACGTGGCCGCCCGTGCCTTGGCTGGGCAGGCCTTGTCCATCTTCGGAGACCATCAGGACGTCATGGCCTGCCGCTCCACCGGATGGCGCCTTGGTCAAGGTCAAAGGAACGGATTTATATAGTGGCAACAATATACGGGATTGGAAATGATTTGGATGGACTTGTATTTTAGCTTTCTTTTTGGGTGTGACAGGGTTTTGAAGTGCCACAGCCCACTGCGGATCAACCACGCTGCTGAGTGTTTCCTCCGCCGCCTGTCTTCAGGGCGATGTTGGCGTCGGAGAGCGTGGAGATGGTGCAGTACAACGCGCTGGTGGCGCATTTGGTCTCCATGGAACGCCGCGTCCCCGTGCAGCACTTCTTCGATGGCTTTCGCACCAGCCACGAGGCGTGTTGTTTTTTGCGGAGCAGCATGTGGAGGGCACAGGTTGCAGGGATTCTTGTGGTTTAGTAGAGTCCAGGAAAATCCAGCCAGTGAGTGCTTCTGCTTCGGTCTGGGTGCCAGTGCCATTTACGCAGATCAGTTGTTGTATACTGTATACTTACAGTATAACTGTATAACTGTCTGCAGTGAAGTTTAGTTTTATCTTCAGGGACAGTGTTTCAGCCGGGATACCCATCATATTCTAAGCAAAGAGGCCTCTACAGACTCTACAGACCGTTGAGTTGACCAAGAGGACACTCGCCCGCCCTCGGGCCCCGAGACCGTGGCATGGTTGCAGTGCAGTTTGCTTGCTGTGAAGGTGAACAAGGTGAAGTTGATCGATTACAACACCATGAAGCAGTGACTTGGACGAGGAGCAAGCGTTCCCATGGGGAGGTGGGATGACCAGGCACCGAAAAAGCCGTTTTGAGGCTCATCAACTGGGATGCCGTGAAGGAGCACCACGACCTAGCGATGAATCCTCGCCACCCCCACGTGCAGGGCACCTCTCAGGGACCGGACATCTTCTTCCAATGCGTCGAGGCGCGGGGGACGCAGCAGGAGCCCACGTGCTGGCGCGAGTGCTGGCACAGTGCGATGGGGCAGAGGATGGGATGCGGCTGGGGTGTTATTTTGGAGGGGGAGGGGGTGTGCTGCTGGCTGCTTTTTAGGGGTGGATTGGAATGGATCAGACGATTCTTGGAGCAAACCATTCTCTTGTTTCCGTGTTTTGTTCGAGTTTCTCGATTTTTTTTGGAAGGGACAAGCCAGCAATGTACACATGTAAACACTGACCCGAGACACGCGCCCACAGTGGGGGCGTTTTTTCCTGGCGACGTGAGGCCGGGAACACCTTCTATGATGGCCTGGCAGATCTCTTCGAAGCGAAGTCCAAGCGTCATGGCAGTACGTGGGTTCCTGTCCTACTTGACTCCTGACTGGGAGGTAGTAGATGGCATGAGTCGCCAGGTGTGTGTGATTCCCCGGTTCGGTTCAGAGCATAGCTGGCAGCCTGACTCAAAGCCACTCGCAGGGCTGCACTGTAACTGGCAGAATTCACTTCAACAGCGTGGCGTAGCCCTCCACAGGCTAGTGGAGCAGAAGACGGGAGTTCACTATGCCCTCTATGCCTATGAAGGCGCTTTTGGCCGGTCGTTTTTGCCTTTACGGACACACCTGAAGATGTGCCCCCTCTCGTGCCCGAAGAAATGTTTGTCCTCCGTGCGTTGGAAAGCCGGGGCAGGACACAAGGATGCGGAGTACGTCATCGTGGTGATGGGCAGTGGCGCAGTGACCTGCAGTGAGACGGCCACGTACCTGCAGGAGAAGGGTGAGAAGGTCGCAGGGGGGGTGGGTCGAGCTGAGGGGATTTGGGCATTTGGGCATTTGGGTGTTTTTGGATATGTTGAGGATTCAGGCCAGATTCCAGCCATTTGACCTGTCCAATGGACCATCCACCACTTGGTATGTCAGGGAGATTGGTAGATGCAGAACGATGGCTTTGGTTTCCCCAGAAGCCTTGGATTTCTGGAAGGCACCTTGATGTCTTGGTTCACGGGCTATGGGGGGAGGTCGAGTCAGGTTTTTGGACACCCTGAAAGCTAAAAGTTGGCCCTATGGAATGGAGCAACTACAGTAACTACACTCCCTATGGAGCGCTTGAAGTGATGTTTAAAACCAAGTTCCTATGATTCTTCGTTTGGTTCTAGGGTTTGGTTCACTCTGTTCGTCCGGTTCGACCGAGTTCTTTTTCCAACCCCCTGTGAACGACTCTGAACGACACAGATCAGCATTCCGATTGGTCAATATTCAGCAAAACCGCATGACCTCCTTGGTTTTAAGCCTCCGGTCGCTTCCTGAACCGCGAGCTCCAAGTTAGCACGGCAACCTGGTGCAGTTGTGCAGCTCCGTGGCCAGGTGGGCGTCTTGAAGGTCCGCTTGTTCCGCCCATGGGACGCCAACCGCTTCATGGCGGCGCTTCCGAAGACGTGCAAACGCATCTGCGTGCTGGACCGCACCAAGGACGGGTCTCGTGCGTGGCGGACGCTCCTCCCTTTGGCCCCGTTTTGGTCGGAAGCGAAGTGGGCCACCTACCTGGACTTGGTGCGGAATTTTGGGAGGGTCTCCTGCTTCGATGTCCTGGAAGTTCGCCAGGAGCAGGGCTCGCAGGGAGAGCCACTCTTCTTGGAAGTGTCCACCACGTTGAAGGCCATGGGCCGGGCAGAGATCGTCTGCATCGGAGGCGCGCAACTCCCCGCGGTCTGTCGGGCCGAGAATGGGGTCGCTGGGGGTCGCTGGAGAATGGGGTGGTTTGGGTCAACAGCTCCGGGCTCGGATGAATCACTTACAGCCCTACTGGTACAGTAGGTTTCTTTTTCGGTCTCTCCAGTGTCATGTGGAGTCTCAACTGGTCTGGTCTCGTTGCACTTGTGGTGTCAGGCCGATATGGATTGGGTTCCAAAGAGTTTACTCCGAACATGGTGCTCTCCATCTATGAGAACTTGAAGAAGGCACCTTCAGCTTGCTCGCGGCTGGACTTGGAATGGGGATGAATTGGGGGGATGAGCAGCTTGCTTCTAGAGTGCTTGATGTTTCAGTCAAAGAAAGATCCTTGAAGAGATTAGGATATCTGAGCCCGATAATGTTAATGGATCAACTCGAATGCCTTGGTTTCTCTTTCGGTAAGTGCTTCTAGAGGGTAGTGGTCTTCTGCCTACCAAACGCAGTCTTTCTTTCGATACAGACTACCTCACAAACCCTCTTGCCCTCAAACTTGGCTGATGGTGGGCATAGTGTCCTGCCAGGAGACCCCGAAGCCGCGCTTCACGGTGGGCATCGTGGATGACGTCACACACCTCTCCTTGCCGGTCGGCGAGTGGCTCAACGTCCTGCCACAAGGTGGGCGGTGGACTCCGGGTGGACTGGGCAGCGGACTGTGAGGTGTGGGGGGAGGGGTTGTCGGGTGAACCGCTTCGGAAAACTTGATTTGATGGCTTGACGCTAGGCGAACGCGGCGAACTGACCATGCTCAGTTCAAAACATGGGACAATGGGACCCTTCTGCCGATGTTTGAGGCACCACTGAGTGCATGTTCTACGGCTTGGGCTCCGATGGCACCGTGGGCGCAAACAAGAGTGCGGTGAAGATGATTGCCATGGGCACCGAGTTGTACGCGCAGGCCGTGACACCGGTGGTGCGGGCCGTCACACCGGTGGTGCGGGCCACGGACGGAACGAGACCACCGACGTGGGGTGTTTGGGTTGGGAAGACCCGGCACAGAGGTGGAAACAGCTTGGCCGGAAAGAAGAACTGTGGAGAATTGAGAGAGATGCATGGTGGTTTGAGTGTGGGCCTTGCATAGCAGGTTTCTGAAGTGTCCAGAGTTCTGTTGCAGCTTCCTCGTTTTCTGTGAGGGCGGGGGGAGATGGGATGTGGCTGTGATTGAAAAGTGAAGTGACCCCAAACATACTATAGTTGTATCTATATATAGCTCATAATACACTAGGTATTTATAGCTCCTTGAGACGATCTGGTCACTCAGTGTTAGTGGTGAACGACACGCTGTTCCACGCACCACTTCACACGCTGAAGAACTCGGATGTGATGAACATGGGAGGAACTCGCGCCCATCACTTCTTAGCACTTGGGAATCCAAGACTTGGAAGAACTGGGCCTGGGGGATGGGAACCCATCCACGCACCGCATGTCTTGGTCGGTCTCATGTCTGGGTCCTTTGTAAAACACCAGGCTCAATTGGATTCACTTCGGGAAAGTCTACCGGAAACCATGGTTTTCCTTAAAAACCATCCATTTTCTGGTCGATCCTCGCAATTCAGCCCAAAACAGGCCTACTTCGAGTACGACGCCAAGAAGAGCGGCGGCGTGACGATCAGCCACCTGCGTTTTGGACCGAAGCCCATCCATGCACCGTGCGCCAGCGCCAGCTCTCCGGCCTGTCGGTCGGAGCGCGCGGTTGTCGGCGTGCTGTCCGCGGGGAAAACGGATTCTCATTTCGCATCTGGACCCTGGAGGGGGGCGAAAGGTGGCTTTTATTTGTGGCCCTTTGTTTTCATAGCCCTCCCTAGCTGTTTGTAGATCGCTTGCGAAATAGAAGGTATGTGCGACATACGGTTGGTCTTCATCCCCACCGCTGAATGCTCCACGGTCAAACACCTGTGTGTCTTGTACAATCACCGTAATTATCTGGCGATCTGGTGGTCGGTCCAGGATGGTACAGTAGATGGTTTGACATGGCCCCTATCTCCACACGTCGCCACTGAGCTTCTCACGTCCTGAGCTTCGAAGTTCCAGCTTCTCGGGAGGTACAATGTGCGAGCCGCAGACTACCTGGCCGTGCACAAGCCCAGCTATGTGTCCAACTACGTCGCTGGTCGGTTGTTTTGTTTTGTTTGAAAGCGACTGTAGACCCTGCTCTGCAAGTACTTGAACCCTCAAAAGCCGTTTGGGAAGTATTATATAACTCATCAAATGGATTGACTGTAACCCCCAAACGAACTACAAATTTAGGGAACTTAAAAAGGATTACAGTACAAGCATCAGAAGGAAGTGTCGAGGTAGACAGAAGAAGATCCTGCATTATCTCGGATGTACAAGAGTGACTCACAGTTGCTTGATGAACAAAGACCGCAGACATGGATGGGAAAACCTCTTCTGGCCTGGGGGTTTTGTGTTAAATAAATACACACTCTCTCTCTATATATATATATTTAAAATTGATCAACCGTCTACACTAAAGAGGTGTAAAGGTTCGACTCACCTCTCTTTTCCACCATTTTCCCCAACCCCGCATACATGCACATCCGAAGCGGATGCGAAGGATGAACCCGCAACGCAACGCCTTTCCGAAAATCCCGCGTTAGAACCAGCGAAGCTGAAGTGCAAACGACATCGCCGCGTGCAGTTCTTCTGGGAGTGGTTTCCTCAACGGGCATCGCGGGACGTTTCTCAAGCCCAACGGGACGTTCTCAGGACATGACCCGGTACATGAAGCCCAATGGCGTCTGTGTGATCAATTGCTCCTGGTCGGTGGATGAGCTCAAGGACAAATTGCCTCCCAAGATGCGTCGGGATTTGGCGGTGAAGAAGGCGCGGGAGTTCTCTTCGCATTCCACTCGCGTGGGGGTTGGCGAGTCTATAGGTGCCTGCAGCGATTGAAGTTGGTGAAGGTGGATGCAAAGAGAGAGACGAAAGAAACGTAGTAAGTGAGAGTCGAACGCATGCAATCAGCATCTGTCAGAAGTGTCAGATGTAGATGTCTTGGGCAGCAAGCTAGGTTGTAGACCAACACTTTGGATCCATCGCCCTGAGTCCACTGTCCCTCCACAGTGTCATGAGTGTCGACTCCGACGTGGCCAGGCGAAGTTGTACATCATCGATGCAACACAGATTGCAGTCAAGGCGCCCCGGTCATGCGAAGAGAAAAACAAGAGAAAAACAGTAGCTATGGAACTATGGAACACATCACTACCTGACAACAGCAGTGCTTTGTCTATTTTTTTTAAAGCTATTTTTTTTTCCCAAGGCAAACATATAAGATAATGATCCATGATATTTTTTTGGAAGTACGTCACGAAGTCTTTGAGGACTTGGTGCGATGGTCACAAAGTTTCAGATGACTTTTCATACCAAAGTTCCAAGCCCTTCAGTGACGCTTCTTTCTAAGTGCTCTTCATGGCTGCATGATGTCAAAACAGATGCGTAGGCCTAGGCTATCACAATCACCCTCTAGGACATCTTCAGGAGTTGGAACAGACACAGTGATTCTTCAGTGGACGTTTCTGCAATTTCTGGTGCAAACAAAACTTCGGCCCCAGTGCGGCAGTGCAGCAGAGTGCAGCACAGAAGAGCCCTGTGGCAGAACTGCCGACCTCGTTCAAGAGGTGTCAGATGCTCCACACCACCAGTCTCAGACGGCACGCCAGCTCCATCGAACACGTGTCGGTCCGTCCTCGAGGCGGGACTGGGCAAGCGCATCAACATGATCATGCAGAGCGTCTTCTTCAAGCTCAGCGGTGTAGCTTGGAGCTTTGAGAGGATGGGAGTGGGTTGGAAGAAGCACCTTGGAATGGAACGCGGTTCTTGGTGATCCAACCAGCACGTATCGTGCTGGTTGGATTCCAGGTTTCTGGTATCAGCGTCACAACTTGGGTATCCGGTTGTCAAGGATGGCAGGCTTCTGCAACTGCTAGGGCTGCCTAGGGGGCGATCGCCGATGGAGGTGATGAAGCAGACTTGCCTGCCTAAACACATCGCCTGAAGCCTTGCGATGTGACATCTTGGCCTAGTGCAGATGGCCCCGTTATGGGGAGGATTTGATCGGGTAAGAAAGACAGACGTGGGTTTGTGCAACCATATGCCAAAAGCAGTCCCAGCTTCGCCCACAGCCAGAGATCTTGGGGTTGATGCATTCTTTTTCTACTTCCACGCAGTTTACTAGTCGTTCATGTGTCGCTCTGTAGATTGTGAGCTGAAACTGCTCTGAGGTCATGCCATTTGAGGAAGCCATTGAAATGCTGAAGAAGAGCATCAAGAAGATGTATGGCAAGAAAGGCAGGCAGTGTGCTTCACTGACAGACATGAGACAAGCATTCTAACGGACTCCATTTTCGTCGTCGCCAACGATTCCGCACCTCCCTCCCTCCCTCTTCAACACCGCGTGCTTGGTGCTTCCTCCTTCAGCTTTCCCATCTCCATCGTCCCGGTCGACACCGACCACCGACCTATAGGCCGGTCGACCTGGGTCGTCCAGCGCGCGCGTGAGCAGGTGACAAGGTGGTGCAGATGAACATCGACGGAGTAGACGCCTCGGTGAGTGGCATCAAGGAGGTGCCCGTGCCCGGCGACTGGGCCTCCCTCACCGTGCCCGGCGAGGTGGGGGGTGGTGCCGCGGAAACTGGGCGATTCTTGTTCGCTACGCACACACCGTAGCGCGTAGCTGGTGATGGAGCGCGGATGATGGCGTGTGCCTCAGATGTGCCCACCTTTTGGTATGTTTTGTGAGTTAGGAATTCGTATCACTTCCCGGGCCCCTTTCTTTTTTCTTCTTTTTTCGCATCGTGTCTCGCGTAGCGGCCCGGGCAGTGACTTTATGCACTCTGCCATGCGGTTTGGTGGATGTTGGTAGGGGATGGAGCGGGGTGGACAGCCCATGTGGTCTACCCGGCACCCCCCCTTCTTCTCGCGCAGGCGGGCGCTGCCACTGGTGAGGTGGCCAAGGGACCTCGGAAGGTGATCGACCTCTTACCGAAGCAGTTCGCGGACAACGTGCAAATGCCTTGCAACAACTTGGATGCTCTTTTGGGAACGCTTCCGGCAGTGGGGCGAAACGGCTGGGCTTCCGGGTATGGGGTGACCTGGAGGGGGCTGCCGCAGATGGAGAAGAGCAGTGTCGTTTGGAAAGCCCTTGGCTCCGTAAAATGGGACGGGGCGTGCCTCCCATCTCTTGCCAGGTCTCATGCGTCTTGAAAGGGCAAGTCATTGCCGGAATGCTGATGGGTGATTGGGAGATAAGCTTGTAGCCCTATTGCCCTATTCACTGGAGTTCATCCAGTAGGCTACTATTAGCAGAAAGCAGTCCAGTCTAACAGTTTGGATTCGATATTGGTCTAGAGGAAGGTAACCGCCGGTTTCATAGCTGCACTGAGGACGGCAACTCCCTGCCGGTGAGCACCTTTGTGCCGGGTGGCCGAGTGCCATTGGGCACCAGCCAATACGAGAAGCGCGGCATCGCCATCAACGTGCCCAAGGCAAGGCATGACACAAACCGAACCGAGTGGCAACCCTGCAAAGAGGGGAAAGGGAAACCACTAGTAGAGAGGAAATCCACGGAATCAAAACTTGTCTTGGGGATGGCCTAAACATCCAGTGCCTGTTCATCATCAATGTTCCGCCACGGCACAATGCGTTTGTGATTGCTGGGCCTCTGCTCCTTTCTGGGCTCAAGTCTCGTTGCTGAGGTGGACATGGACCTTTGCACCCAGTGCAACAAGTGCAGCTTGATCTGCCCCCACGCCGCGGTCGCTGGGCCCGAAAGATTAGAATCAATCGCACTGGAACAGAGTGGCCAGTGGCCAGTCAGGGGGGTGCTTGGGCCTTTAGCTTTTCGACCGTTGTTTAAAACAACTCTTTTGCATGGAAGACCACTTATTTTCCTGTATTTAATCATGGCATTTCATGATTGTCAGTTCTCAACGATTGGATTCTGGACCATTCATGGACCTGCAACCTGCTTATTGTATGTTTATTCTCTCAGGTGCGGCCCTTCCTGCTCACTCAGCAGGAGTTGAACTCTGCACCCAAGGACTGCAACTCTTTACTGAGACGGTGCAGTGACGACATGTCTCCGTGTCTTTTTGGGAATTTAGGAAGCATCATCGACTCTTACTGTCAATACCATTGACTCTTAGAGGAGCAAAGATATTTAGGTGATTTGTCCTTTGGGCTTGTAGCATTTAAAGCCCGTTTCTGCGTCGTAGCAAGCATTTGTGGGCCTCAACGGGTACCCCAACCCCCACTTGTTTGTTAGCACTTCGCTTCGCGCAAGTCCAGGACTTCAAGGAGGGCAGCCGCGCAGCCATCGGCGGTGGAGTGCTGGATAACTACCAGTACCGAATCCAGGCGCCTGCATGCTGGCATCTGGAGCTGGGAGCTGGGAGCGTTTTTTCAGACATACCTGGGCAGCTGGTTGCGGAAAGTTAGAGTTCACACTGTGAGCCAGTGCTCAAGGCGACATGAACCCAAGCAACTGCACCCAAACCCTTTCCGACCAAACATTGAAGAGAGCCCTTGTCAGAATGTCTCAGAATGGGGCCGACTTTCATGCGCGGTGGGTCGAGTTGCCTGGCTGCACCGGTCCTGTTTTGAGACCAAAAAGCCTCTTTCACGGTTGGATGAAGTGACACAGAATGAGCGCCAGGAAGCTCCAGGTTGAAGGTGACACTTCCCTTAACCTCTTTTCAGTTCTCAGAACGTCAGGACTTCGGACTGCACCGGGTCAGGTGTCGCCTTGGGACTGCACCGGCTGTGAGCTGTGCGTTCGCATTTGCCCGGCGGATGCCTTGAAGTTGGCCGATGCCGGGAAGGTCATCGAGGCGGCGCGTCGCGGGGTTTGGGGGTCCGTGATGGTGCGTGCTGGGGTTGAAGCAACTTGGGTGTGGATTAAATTCGGAAGACCTTCCAGGCGTTCGGTTTTGCCCCTGGAAGAAGGGAAAAAGACCCAAATCCAGAGGTTGGGTGCCCCCCTCTGCTAATACTAAACCTACTTGGAGGTGGGTTGTCTGCTAGTTTCGATGGTTTCGATGGTCCGACTGTCCCGGTTTGCCCTATCAACGTGACTCCCTCGTTCACCTGGTGCTCCACCCTCTCTAAGAAGGTCTTCATTGGTGGCGCCCCAGATCGATCCAAGCTTGCACTCCCAGTCTCATCCCAGCCTCATGTCCAGCAGAGGTTTGTCTTCTAAGGTCCATTTTCTCGTATGAATCTGGGCTGAAGCTCGTTTTGCGTCCGCGGGAGAACTGCAACTGCTAGTCACTAGTCAAGCCGTCATGCATGGCCATTTGTGAGCGCTGCAAGCAGCTCACTCTGACCATCACCTCCTTTGGATGTGCCAAGATTTTTGGGCTGAAACAGCATCTCCTGACCGGCCAACATGTCCTCTCCTGCCCTAGCTACCTTCCCCAGTCCCCCTACACGCATCTGGATGCTGACACGCAGCTGGCAGGAGGAGGAGGCGAATTGGAACTTCGCTGTGACCTTGCCAGACCGTGGAGATGAGATCGACAAGACGACGGTGAAGGGCTCCCAGTTCCAGAAACCTTACCTGGAGTTCAGTCACCTGGTATCGCAAGGATCGTCAACCGAGATCTCCACCTCACAGAAACCATCTGGAAATGGTTAGTTAGTCCAGTGCTGTAGGATCGTGTATTAGCTGCAAGCTTGGGGGTGATTCTGCATCCCCAGGCCACCGCTACCCAGGGTTTATTCTGCTTCGCTTTGCCCTGGATTCCACGCCCCCCTCCTCTGTTGTGGGCCCGCCCAGGCGGCGCCTGTGAGGGTTGTGGCGAGACACCGCACGTGAAGCTGATGACGCAGCTGTTTGGAGAGCGCTTGGTGATCGCCAACGCCACCGGCTGCTCCTCGATTTGGGGCGGGTCCAACCCCTCGTTCCCCTACACCGTGAATGCCAAAGGCGAAGGCCGGTGACGGGCGAAGGACCGGTTTTCGCTTGCGTTGTGGAATGTAGCAAAAACATATATAATATATATATATATATATTATATACATACACATAAAATAGCTTCCCCAGCTCCCTGTGCGAACGGTGAAAAAGGAGTGAGCCGTGCTGTAGTCGACTGATCTGAATCTATGTATATACATACACATATATAACATATATTATATCTTATATATATATATATGCAGGACGCACGGCGGACACACCCTTTTCCACTGAACTAAGGGGGAGGCTTGTGCCATAGGTACCAACCGGAGAGTACTAGGGACACACAATCTATACAACTTGCATGCCCGTGTCAGTTCCACTCTGGGGAACTGAGTGTGAGTTGAAAGACAGGAGTCGAGCGATTTTTGCTCGTACTTCACTTCCCATCAATCAAACACATCCTTTCCTTGCTGTTGGCGTTTGCGTCCAGAAAGCATGAGCTCGTCATGAACAATCTTCCATCGTTGACCTAACTGGACAAAACGGCACATTTGTATGTCCTCACCTCGCTTAGTGATGCTATTGGCAAGCATGGCCTGTGAGTTCACCCACCTAACTCTCAAACCAGTTTCTTGTTGGGATTCCTTCAAAGTGATCAGTTCCAGGTCGATACGTTTTTGGGCTCCTTTGGGCGTGATATATGGTTTGTCAACTCGATCAAACGCATTTCGGCTATCCGTAATCAAGGTTCCACACGTACGAGACACATGTTCATAGATATTGTGGCGGTCAGAATCATACCCCATGATTTCAGACCATTGATATCGAACCAAGAACAAAGTGTCTTCGGCGTCGATCGCAGCTCGCGCTTCAGCTGACCCTGGGGACCGACACACACGTTCGATCTTGCCGCTCTGCCAGAAGATAGGCGACACTCGATCGACCTCTCCTGACCCCAACTTTTTCCCAGACATCCCAATGAAAATTCCCTTCGTGCTACTACCATCATGCCTATTTTGAGAACTCGCATCAACCCAACAATAAAATTGAGGTTCTTCTTGAGGCTCAAATGGGAATATGTGCATGGGATCTTTCGCTGCCAACCGCATCTTGCACAAAAGGCTATTGACATCAAGGAGCGTCTGTACAGTGCTGGTGTTCACCTCGGACAAAAACAGACTTGTATATGCGACAAATCTGTATCCAACTTGGTTGGCATGCCAGCTCAGTGCTCCGAGCAGACCTCGTAATTCGGTCTTCTCTTCAGGAGTTGTCTCCTCTTTAATTTGTTTCTTCCTTTCTCGAGCGATTCGAATTTCTTGAACATCGCCCAAGTATTTGGTTTGTTCCAGAGTGAATCCACCGGATGGTGTGCTTTGCACATGAACTCCACACTGGACAAAATCATTGCATTCCCACTCCTGCCACTTAAATTTTTGTTGGATGGCTTCCTGGAGTGCTGTCCATTCAGGAGATTCAATCCCGGTGAAGAGGAAGTCGTCAACATGTCCCGAAATTAGGGCCAGTGTCTCACCTGCTTTCTTGTAGCGCCACATGCAAGGGTCGCTTTTGAGCTGCGCAAAGCCTAGGCTTTTGAGAAACTGGTTCATGGTCTCAAACCATTCTATGGGTGCTTCAACTAAACCATAACAGGCCTTGCGCATTCTCACCACACTTTGTGGTGCAATGTTCATGGCTTCGCAGATCTCAACTGTCGGGATGAGGTACAAATCACGGCCAAATTCTCGGCCCTGTAAAAATGCAGCAGCGGCATCTCCCTTTTTGACTTGACAGCCATTGTTGGATGTCCATTGAATGAGCATCTGCCTGCTATGCCTGGTCATAGTGGGGGCAAGTGTCGGTCGGTGCTGGTATTCAGGTTCCATGTACCCCAAAACAACTGCTCTCGCTTTCGGTTTGGAGCTGCCGTCTTGGGAGTGTTTCCATGTCAACACCCATCTCATTCTCAATGCCTGGTGTCTTGCAGGCTGCAGGTGTTCAGGCAAAGCCTGAAGAGCTTCTGAACTTGTCCACCTCTATCTTCTTGGCACCAGAGAATTGTTCATGTTCTAGTGCTGACAAATGACGTTCAGATACTTCCACCGAGCGTCGCTTCAGAGCACTCACGAAGTAGGCCACCGGGTTGTTCATGAAGCGCTTCAACTTTCGTTGGTCTGTAGGCAGTTCAAGAGTCAGCTCCACTAAATTTAAAGTATGTGGATTGTCCCAAATGGTTCGCGTGTCTGTGGTCAGCCACGCTGACTCAGGCACCAGCTCTTGCCATGAGGGTCCTGTGAACAGTGCTGCGTCATCACTGCGACTTGGCTTTGGACTTCTGCTCCGGTCTTGGTGATGTGACTGCTGTTGTTTGCCCGTGACTCGTCTGCGGTTTGTGGGATGTTCTGTGTCACCCAACTCCTCGGGCTCCACCAGAGATCGTTTGTTTTCTGAAGGTCCAGGACCGGTATGGTCTTGAAAGGATGCTTTGTGGAGGTCCCCGGCTAAGCTGTTGAAGGTCCATGGTAGTTGTGGTGGCCTTGTGAGCTCACGCAGGCATGTTTCCCGCATGGAGGCAGGTCTCAGTTGTTCTTGAGCTACTTTCACAAGGCGGTTGCCTCGTACCAGCCATACCACACTGCTTGCACGCAGTTGACCGTGTTCCTGACGTGTCTCAACTGCCAGGACTCTCGCTGGACCCACGTATAGTTGCCTCGATTCCAGGAGTTTTGCCTTTCGGCGTTCCCCAGCTGTGTTCGCCAGTAGAATACCAAATCACCTGGAAAGAAGTCTTTGTGAGGATGATGTTTTGAGTTGCGGGCTCTGGTGAGTTTCTCCTGCACTTGCCAATCGATGAATGCTTTGGATGCCTGTTGTCGCAACTGAGAGGCAACTTCCATCTCACCATCTGGAGACTGCATCATTTCCATCGGCAGGTCTGTAGTTCGTCGATCAAAGACTTGACCCTCGAGGTCTGGTTGTCTACCGATGGCATGTTGAAAAGGACTGTATCCTCGCACGATTTCTCGATGGTTCCAGGTGTAGATGGCATGTTGGATCAACTGTGTGACATCCTGTTCAGCATCTCCGGCAGTCTTAGTGAGGAACTCTTTCACCCACTCAATGCAGCGCTCCACATGAGAGAGGTTCCAGTGTGCTTCGGCTGGAATGTGGTCGAGGTGGATGCCTCGTTCACTGAAGAAGTTCAGCATTTCGTCCGATCGGAAAGCTCCCTCCGGATCAGATCTCACCACATCCGGCATGCCAAAATACGGAAACCAATGGTTTGCAAAGAGTTCAGCGTATTCGGAGGCTTTAACTCCTTTGCCTCCGTCCACTCGCATGACTTTGCCAACCAGGAAGCGACTCGCCTCATCCATGACCAAGCTGAATGAGACCTGCTTCTTAGAGGTTGGGTGTTTCCAGTATGCGGTGTCGATCTGCACACTGCGCCAACGGTCGGTGTGAACTTCCAGATTAGCCTGGCGTCGGGGGTCAGGCTTCTTTCTTTCGTCACACGCGCTGCACCTAAACGATTTGGCTATGGCAAGCACCTGGGGACTAACCTGTCTCCTTTGAAGGATTTTGAGCAAGAGTTCATAACTGCCGTGTCCCGTGGCACTATGTATTTTGAACAACTGCTTCAAGATGCGATCACGTTCCTCTCGAGACACTTGTTGTTCGGGAGGAGGGGAATCTTCCCCCGCAAAAACAAATTCACTCCACTCATGCACGCAAACAGAACACGTCAGTTCTTTCGTGATTTTGTGAATACGTTTACACCAACATCCTTGCTGTCGTTTGTGAGCGTGTGTTTCCGTTTCGCACTCGCTCGCTCGCAAAACATGAACGTCCGAATCAACATATGATACACCACTCGTCGAACGAACTCCGGAGTGTAAAACGCGGTCATACGAGCAGCCTGTCCTTCACACAAGGCATGCGTTTTGTTCAAACAAGCACAAGTGTTATGCAAACGTTCCGAGAGACGACGGTCGGTGCACTCCACTCGCCACTCCTTTCCTAAGGGAACACCAGCTTTGGGGTCTTTCAAACCAACCTGGCAACCAGAAATGATGGCGGTGGAGGTGTTGCAGTGGTTTCTCCATTCATCCAACAAATCCCATTTCCAAGCTCGACATCGTCGACTCCACTCCCAACACACGACCGACCCAGCCGCATGCGCCCAGTGCGCCACCACGAGTGCTCCCACATGTTGTTTTCGAGCATCCACTTGTTTCTGTTTCAGGGCCTCTTGTTGTTCGGGAGTCCTTTGGTTACAGTTTTGAATGGGGGAGAAAGCACCACACTCGGTCGCAATCCATAAAAATCGAGTTTTCTTCTCATGGATGACCTTGATGGCCTGTTTCACCCCCTCGCCCGTGCGAAGATCGAATCCGTTCCAAACAGAGCACAACGTTCGGCAGTGAATCCCTTTTTCAAAGCTTCGGAGGTCTAGAGTGAGTCTGGTGAACACGCGAGTTCCATCAGAAACAGCCTTGAGGCGTCGCTTACGGACGCCCAAGCCTCTGAAAGGACCAACTCGCTCGCCTGTTCAAGAGACCTGAGCTTTTGAGGTGACAAGTGCTTACACTCGTCGGGGTGGCCTAGCCATCCATCTTCACGAAACTCCCGTCGGATGCCACCGATGTTCCAGCTCGGGGAGGTGGCGTCTTGTGACGCTTCTTGCCCTTGAGCTCGTCGAGCTCCTCTTGCATGGCCTTCATGGTTTCCATCATATCCTTCATTTGTTCGGTCACCGCCGAGGAACTGGTCGTGGCATCCACATTCTTGCTCGATGACCCTGCAGCAATGGCCACTGTTGGTCGGCTGTTGGTGAGGGCTCCACGGTAGCCGGACCCCTGGTCCTTCATTGGTGTCTGAGGCTTCTCGATGGGATCGTGTTCCATCCTCTTGGCCCAACTGGCGAGTTGGCGAAGTCGCCAATCCGCCGTGTCCGAGTTGCCCACCTCGGCCTGAGCCCAGCTGAGGTACCCCGGATCGTGTTGAGCCACTTCCATGAAGTTCCTGCCCTTGTATTTCCCAAAGTCGATCAGTGTGTCGTTGCTGCCACTGCGGATCAGCCACGACTTGAGCATCAAGCGCAGCTCCCCCACTGTGGCCTTGGCCGGATGTTCGATCTGGCGAGCCTGGCACATGGAGCGTAGCTCGCCGAGTTTCGCATTGTTGATCTCCTTGAGAAGAATGTTGGGGGCTCCCTTGGGCTTGATGATCCCCTGGGCTTCGCGAGACTCGCGAACCAGCATCCGGCATTCCGGAAGTGTGAACTCCGTCCAGGCAATGTGTTTCTGACCATTGGTCACCTGAGCCGCGGTTGCTTCCTGCGTCAACGACAACGGGAGTATGGTCACAGGTTTGGACACGTGAATCAGATGGCTGCGGGAACGTGTGCACATGCGATCGCTCAACCTGACATCCGACGGACGAACCTGACCTCACCTCATGTTCATGAGTTTCACCAGTATCACAGTATCACCGACTTGTTGAGTTTCTTGGTTCACAGAAGTGGTTTCGGGCAAAATCAGCTTTCCTATCTCTTTATCCTCACACTCAGAATCAGGGTGATCTGAGCTGAGTCCGCATCCCTATTCGGGGCTTCCTACGAGGTGGCGAAGGCTCATCACTCGATTGGTGAGAGTCGTGCCACTCCCCAAAAAATCCTGCGTCAGTGGGATCCTGGTGTCCCGTGGTGGAACGCTTGAGCTTCACTAAGGTGCGATCATTGACCGCCGTGAACACTGCCTCATCGGTGCGAAAATCAATGATGGCACCCAACTTGCGCAGTGTCGCAACTGACACGAGGATTGGCGCACTTCCCTGATCCGGGGCGTGCGCCTTTAAAGACTTTGCTGTGCTTCCTTCGGGACATGTACATAGCATGTTGAAACACACTGACTACGCTCACTGTTGCCGAAACCAAACGTAGGTCGCTCTGACAGGTCTACCCGAAGAACCCCTGGCAGGTTGAGACGCCGGGCTTTGTCCTGCAGTTGTTCGATGGCGTTCACGGAGGCCATCGTCTTTGTGGCACCGCCATCCAGAACACCATACCCTTCTCGCAAGACTTGGTCACCCGGGATCAGGTCTGGTGAAGTCTCCTCCAGGTTGGTCCAGCAGAATGCTTCTGGTTTCAAAGAAGCACTTTCGGGTAGGACCCCGTACACATACTCAGAGTGTTCAACGGCCTCATAGTTTTTGCCATCCTCATTCTTCTTGGGGCAATGGGAGGTGTCATGATCTTTTCCACATCGAGCACAAGGTCCTCCGGTTCTAGTTGAACCTGTTGTGTTGTTTGGTCGTCGGTCCCCCATGCCTCCTTTGCCCTTCCCCTTGGAGTAGCCCTTGCCACGATCTGCGGATGGCGCATAGAAGCGACGTCCCATCCGCGCCTCATGCTGTTTGGCTCGAGCTTCACGAAGGGTCACCCTCGCTTGCTGTAGTTGAGCCCAGGCTTCATGTTCTTCATGTTTAGCTTGTTGGTACAAGGCTAAGGCATCCTCAGGAAGGTCCTCGTAGAAGCTTGTGTCTTCTTCCCATGGCTCCGTCTCATCTTCTTCATTTTCATAGAGAGCCTGTTTGACTTCTCCATCCCGCTTCTTGATTGTCTCATCCGTGAAGTGGCTCCGAAGGGCGACTTCGACGTTGGCGAGGGAGAAATTGTTCTTGACCTCGCTCTGAATCAAACTGCGTTCCATGCCGTCCAGGTTGGCTTTTTCAAGGAGAAGCCAACCCTTGATGACGTCTGGCAGGATCTCGGCGAAATCTTCCTCATCATCTTCATCTTCTTCAGCGATGCTTGTGTTGGACTGGAGGTTCCAGTTCCACGTGGTCTCCCATGTCGACCACCACCAAGCATCATCCCAGGTCCATTCGGTCTCACCCTGGGCTTCTTCATCATAGTCCTCTGTGGGCGTCGCCTCGGTGTCACCCTTGGTGGCAAGGTCCGATGAGCCCCCCCCCCGTGGATGGCCTTGCCGTAGACACTGACTGCCTTCGTCCTGAGTGCCAGGCCTGGCTGGTCAGATCAGGAAGTGACTTTTGTTCTTGCATCACGCGAGTCAGGGCCTTGCAGGTCCGTGCGTACTCTTCACGGTGTCTCACACAAAACGACACCATGGATTCGCCGCGGCGGCGCCGCAGCAGCTTGAAGTAGGTCAAGCTGGTTGGAGATCTCCGGAAGAGCTGGCTCGCTCATCGTCTCTTTCAAACAGCGCAGGAGCTTGCCGACGCCATCCTGGGACGAGAGCCAGCCGCGCTTCTTGTTCGCTATTGCTGTGCGTGCCGCTCCAGTCAACTCGGCTGCCAGCCGTGGACCACATAGGTAGCGACTTTCCCACTTCACCGTCTCCTCGTACATGTAAGCAGCCCTGCGATACTCCGACCAAGTAGCCGGAGTACCATCCCATGCAGGGATGCCATCTTTGGACTTCGTGACTGTCATTGGGCTCCTTCTCACTCACAACCGATGCGCATCAGCACACCCACACACACACACACACCCTCAGGGCCCGATGCAGGCCCCCCTGGATCGCCGGCCTCGAGGAACTCAGCGCCTCGCCGCCCCACACCGCGCGCAACCGCAATGCAGAGCTCCGCTACCGTGCAGGACGCACGGCGGACACACCCTTTTCCACTGAACTAAGGGGGAGGCTTGTGCCATAGGTACCAACCGGAGAGTACTAGGGACACACAATCTATACAACTTGCATATACATATATATATACACACATATATGATGTGAAATTGGCTTCACACTGGTAGCCGCTTCAACTAGCAAACAGCGCACTTCCAAAAGGCACTCCCTCGCCCCTCCAAAGCGCGCCCCCTCTCTCTTTTCACCAAAGCCTTGTCCACTGGATTCGTTGGTCCTCGAACAACTTGCAGCGTCCTCGCTGCAGCAGGTCCAAGGTGCACGGCCTCGTGCTATGCCTTTGGTCTCAAGCTGTCATGGCCCCTCCTCAGCCCTCCAAGACAAGACGCGCCAAAAAGGCTTCAAGACAAGACCGCATGCACCGGTGCTATCTCTCTTTGACTGCATGCACCGGTGTTTGACTGAACGTTGAAGATTCAGAACATGAGCGAAACTTGGTATCCAGAAGTAGCGCGAAGTCAGTGAAGTGAAGTACTCCCGTGAGTCTTCCCATGAACTAAAGCCAAACCTTTTTTTCAACTCTCATATATACATGCATACTACATATATTAATATCTATAAAGTATACTGTAATAGGACCAGCCACCGACTGGCACCATTTCGGACTGTGTGGAGGCCCTGCCTGGGCCAACAGCCTCTTTGAGGACAATGCCGAGTTCGGCTTTGGCATGCGAAAGGCCTCGAAGGGTCTTGCCGAGGAAGGCTTGATTTTTTCAACCTCTTCGCTTTATTCTTTAGCCCCAATTCCATGGCTGTGATGGTTCGATGACTTGCATTGGGCAAGAAGTGCTTTTGTTGGCGTCTTTCTTTCAGCACTGGTCCTGGTCCTTTTGATGCATCCCAAAGGGTTCACATGGGCATGGAAGACACCTTTTTACATCAAGGGCAGCCAGTTGGCCAGTTGTTTGCGCACGCTTTGTTCGACAAGGGAAGGCTTTACAGGAGCCCCCACACAGGCTGTTCAGGAAACCACTCGCTTTCAAATGGTTGTAGTGTAGGGGTTCCAAGGCGAAAGCTTGAAGTTCTTGATATGGAGATCAATCATCGCTGGTCTCCAGGCCTTCAAGCAGCGCCGCGATTACTTGGCCAACCAAGTGGAGGCCAGGCGCCCCTAACGGAATCGACGAATGAAAGCCACTGGCGAAGCCGCTTTGGTAGGTTCATTTGGACTGGGAGTAGGCTGCAAGAGCAATGGCTTAGGAATTGCAAGAAAGAAATCGGCTCTATTTTGAGGGTTCTCTTCTAGGGCTCACGGTTTTGTGCATGGCCTTCCATGGCCAGGTTGGACGCGTGAAACATCATTTTTGAAGCTTTCTCCACATGAGTAAGGGCATCTGCGACGCGCCCGCGCATGCTGCGCCTGCCTTGAAAACAGGATGCGCTGGGAGACAAGGAGGTGACGATGAGCGAGGATCTTCGAACAGCCTTGCAACAATACCTGGTGATGCGCAAGGACCGAATGCCCAGGATCTGTAGTTAGAGGCCATCGCTACTAGGTTGGAGGCGGTCCGCCATCGCTAGTAGGTTGGAGGCCAAGGCCATCGGTAGTAGGCCATTCTAGTAGGTTGCAGGCTTAGTGAGGTCCCGGTCTGTTGATCTGGTGTTGAAATATGGGAGGGTCCCCCCCGGCGCATGCATTTTGTGGAAGAGACGTGGTGGAGTCTTGTCGGGCGTGGCTTGTGTTTACAAGCTCTTGATCGGGACATTCAGGCTATAACAGTGAGGCTCTCTATAGGTACTAAGTTACTTGGTAGAAAGCAACGACGGTGCTGTCAAGGCCTGGGTGCTGTCCTTGACAGCCTGCATATCTTGTAGCTGGAGCTACCGTGAAGGGCCCGACCGGTCCAGGCTCATGCATTGGAACAGCACAGAATCGGATCAATGACGGAAAAAAGGAACTCACCGAGAAACGTTCGTTGCTCGGGTCATTTTGAAAGATCCCCGACCTTCTCGGAGAACCTACATGAGAGTATTCCATGAGCCTTTGAAGAGGAACCTTGGGAGTATAGTGCATTCCCAAAGAACCCAGCCACCACCAACTGCGGTTTGTCAGGGTTTTGGAGGTCAAAGGAACCCTCGCCTCGGTGGTTCCGGTCGGTGGTAGCGAAGCGGCGCGAAGCGGGCTTCGCTAGCGCCTGCCAGGAGAACATGCACGATCTGCTGCTGCCCCGTGGTCGAAGTATCTACCACCAGATCATGGAGAAGTTGGTGCCCCTCTTGGAGAAGGCGGAGTGGTGAAGAAAAGACACGGGGTTTTCAAACCCAATGGAAGAAGAGAAGCATGGGCCTTTCGGCCTTTCGGCCTTTGTTTTCAATGGTCATGTTCTGGGCGAAGAAACAGGGCGTTCACACAGGTCACCTATTGCGTGTTCGACCTTCGGTTTTTGCTTCAGACACCTTTGAGATTCCTTCGAGCTTGGGGAGAGGGGCGGATGCCCGTCGGGCTTTCCGGACGAATGTTCGAGACGAAGTGATCTTTGTCTTCGAGGGAGAAACACACGCCGAATTTCAATCACATTTTGCTTCTACTGCTTGCTCCTAGTAGCAATGGCCTCCAACCTACTAGCTACTAGCGAAGGCCTCCAGCGATGGCCTCCAACCTAATAGGGCCTCCACCTATATATATAGTAGCTTCTTGCTCATAGTAGCGATGGCAGGAGAAGGGTTCTCATGCCAAGATCAAGCAGCTGTATGAACTGCTACTCGGTAGAGTCGGTGGGGGCAGTGGCTGAGCATGCGAAGCATGCAAGGCAGAGGATTGCTAGGCAGGGTGGACCCAAGGTGCTTGTAGGCAACTCCTACTTATATAGGTTTTTCGGCACCCGCAACAAAGCTCCTTCCATAAACCAAAAGGGGGTCAATGAACACGTGAGAGAGCCTACCAATCAACTATAATCAACTACTTATTTTAAAATGCCCTGGTTTGGGGGGCAGCCAGGCGGTTTGCTGTCGGAAAGTTTTGACCAAGCTTTCAGGCGGATTGAGAATTCCTTGCAGCTTGGCAAAGCCTCTCACCTGATTCAATCTAAGATTTGACTGGCCCAATCCAACATCGACCAAGCTTGGCACCTGTGCTTTGAGAAGCCTCGTTGGACTCGCCTCCCTCCAAAGCACTCTGAAATCTGTATAAAGATGGACCCTGACGCGAAACCGATTGCCACCTACGTTCCCTCCCTTCCCCACGCGTTGCTCACCACGTGCATTCCACGTTCGCACCGCACCACAGCACGTCCTCGTCCTCCCTCGCCGTCCTCGCCGTCCTCGAACAAGCGCCCGCTCAGGGAGGACATGTTCGGCCGCAGCAGCTTCTGGATCGTCGGTGGCGATGGCTGGGCCTACGACATTGGCTACGGCGGCCTGGACCACGTCATCGCCTCTGAGGCGCCAGACGAGGGCCGGGGCGGAGAGCGGTGTGGGATGGGACGCTCTATAGGCATTTGATGTCTTTTCACAAAGGAGCACAGCTTGGTGAAAAGCCATTTCACTGGTCAAGAGTCCTCAAGAGATCTTAAAAGCATTTAAAAGCCTTGATGCTGGCTTTGAGCTTTCCAGGAGCACGTGAACATCTTGGTGCTGGACACAGTGACCTGTCTGGACCGAGAGTACGCGACCAGACCCGGCCGGCTCGGCGTCTTCCGCAGTTGAAGCGACGGCCTCCGCCCACCGAGGAGATGTACAGCAACACCGGAGGCCAGGCATCGAAGGCCACGCCCAAGGGTGCCATGGCCAAGTTCGCCGAGGGCGGCAAGCTCACGCAGAAGAAGGAGCCCTTGAGACGCGTGAGACTCACGCGTGAGACACTTACGCCTCGCGTGAGACACCGGTGAAGTGGGACGGCGCTCCGCTCGGCGTGTGCAGGACCTGGGGCAATTGGCCATGACCTACAAGAATGTGTCGCGGATGGAACATGATCAAACAAGAATGTGCTGTGAAGAGAGCTGCGTTTTCTTACTGCAGGTCACAGAAGGGAGCTGCAGTCACCACGATCAAAACAGATTTAGAGCACACACACAGAAACACCTCCAATTGTCCCATCCGGCAGATTGGTCCTCATTTCGCATCCGACAAAGACTGCTCAAAGGCTTTGGTTGAAGCTCTGTGCTCGGCTCCCGCGGTGCGCCAAGCAGCCGATGAGGTCTATGTGGCGAGCATTTGCGTCCACGTGAACCCTCAACAGGCGGTGCGCGCCATGATCGAGGCGGACGCATACCCAGGAGCTGGAGAAGTCCCTCCCCGCTTGAGCAAGCTCCAACTTCACCACTGGCATTTCTTCTATTGGTGTTTTATGGGCAAGGAACAGGCCGGAGACGTGCTATGATCATGAAGGGACCCCAGGCGACCTTCCTGGCAACAACCACTCCCCAGTTTGAACAGTTCCAGATGGTTCCTTGCCTTGAACATCCTGCCATTGGCATCCAACAAACCTCCGTACGTGTACTTCAGCCATGAGCCGCCTTAAGTATTTCTGGATGATCAACGCCTTGCAAAACCGATCGCGGCCAACCTGGTACCGATACCCTTGCTTATCTTTCTTGATTGAAAGTAGCTCATTGCCTGTATTCCAAAACACTGGAACCAATAGGGGACATCCCCAAATACTTTTGGCATCACGAAGAAGTCTTGTCTGCCACCATACTGTAAGACAAACTTTTAGAACATATTATAGAACACTTTTCAGGTTTTGGAAAAAACGTGATGTTCTAAGTGGATGTCCGGAAGTATAATATGTTGTTTCTATTTGTTTCTGCCTTTGGCACCACTTAATCTGCTTCTTTTGACCGAGAGGACCCAGTATCATCTTGGCCTACGCTCCATGCATCAGTCACCTGGAGAGAAATGCTCATCAAAAAAGCGTTTTTTGGGCTCGGCACACATGAGCTCGGCTGAATGGGCGTAAACTGAAACGTTCAGAGGCGAGCCGGTGCCATTTTTGGGGTTGATCAGAGGTGTTTTTGAGGGACTCGAAGGGACAAGCACCTTGTTTCAGCAGCCATGGCATAAGAAAAAGGGCAAGCTTCTCCGGCCAAGTCAACCAACACAGAGCTCGGCGACTACTGACTGCTAGGTCCTTTGTTTCTGACGCCTGACGCTGCCGTTGATGACATTGGAGGTTCAATGCCACCAGTCTCACGGGCACCAAAGCTTCCGATTGTGTTGTTTTACTTTTAGACCTTTAGATGACATTTGATGAAATCATATGACACTTACCTGCAACATAAATGTATGTAGATCCCTTGCATGAGGACTGGAGCACTTGTACAACCCCACCTTCCCAAATAGAGGTACTTGAACATTGCCCCATGCCATAGATGTGCCTTGCTTGCAACTCCCAGGTCAGGGCTTCCCTATGGCCGAGTCGATTCAGCATTGTCAGATGGCCGTCGACAGTGGCACCTGGGAAGTGCAGAGAACCCACGCAGTCGAAAGAGTGCGCAGTATCCAATCCCACCCTGGAATGTCACCCTGCAAAGAACTACTTTCAAGTCCATCTGCCTTTCCGTTCTGTGTAACACCATCACCATCATATCAACATCATTATCATGATCGTGATCATGACGATGATGATGATGATCATCATCATCACCATCATCACCATCGTCATCATCATCATCATCATCATCATCATCATCATCATCATCATCACCGTCATCATCGTCATTATCGTCTGGAGAGTACAACACGTGGTCGTAGTGTCATCAAGTGAAAGCGAGTTGGTCGCCTTAGTTCAAGAAGCATGTGGACTTCATCATTTTTGAGAGGGTCCGAAGAGAGCAAAGATTTGGGAAGCGTCACTCTTACTGGTTTGGACAAAGGTACAGAACGTGTGAAATTCAAACAAGAACACATTCAGATTCGTAGGGATTCTAAGAGCCCTTGTACCAACAGGGTGATCATGGTGCATTTTCCAACGCGGCCGCTCCCATCGGCTCGCGCTGTTGCTGAGGTTATTGGCCTTTGTACCGCTACAACCCGGAAGCCTCCGCACATGGGAACAACCCTTTCCAGTTGGATTCCCGAAAGATCAAAGGAGATCTCTTCAAATTCCTCGCCAAGGAGATCCGGGAAGAAACACATCACTTCTTTGCGTGGATCGAACCGGTGATTGGAAGAAGGTTGAAGATATAAGACAGAACATGAGCATCTACGCAAATAAAGCAGAGCGAACGAAAAGCAATCAGACAAAACAGAAGACAACAAAAACAGGATGACCATTTGGCCAATTTCCATGGTTGGGTGGGGGGGTTCAGAAAAAATCGTATGTGTTTCCATGTGGTTCTTCCAAGAGCGTCTTCCACAACGAGACCGTGTCGACCACCCGCCGCGACGACCGAGATTCTGCAGGAGAACCGCTTTGCGGCGGTCATGCGCCGAGACCCCAAGCACGCCCAGGCGGTTGTTGTTTCGTCGTGGCCTGGGCACGGCCTGGGCACTTCCTGGGTGTTTCTGGCGGGCCCCTGGCTTGTGGCTTGAATTATGGACAGACGAAGTCGACCCCACATGCTACCACTTGCCGCAGTTTGGCCACTTTTCTAGGGGCTGAGGTTGGATCCCTCCAGTTTGGGGTGTGCAATCAGCGATGAGCATAGCGCAGCGGATCGCTGAGAATGGGGGAATAATGTAGTCCCTTGATTTATAAACCCCCCCCCCCCTCAACAACCAAGGCCTCCAAAATAATATATATGAAAATCAATCAGTTGATAGTTAAATAAGGAATCCTTAGCTAGCTACCTCTGGAGCTACTCTCGCAATATTAAATTAAAAGGAAATAAGAATTCCTAACTTTGAAGACCTCTGGCAATATTAAATTAAAAGGAAATAAGAATTCCTAAGTTTGAAGACCTCTGGCAATATTAAATCAAAAGGACATCTCAAATTTCTTAATAGAAATCTCCATCCAAAAGCCTCCAAAAGCATCAAATCTCAATG